TCTTTTAAGGAGAGCTATAGGGTTACTCAATGCCTTTGTTAGATGGAGAGTTCGTCCCGTTGACCGCGGCTACGTTCGGCGACTAATTGTCGCCTTGAGTCCAAGCTCATTGTCACAAGTCTCGAAAAATACAATTGGGTAGAATGACGGCAAACCGTTTAATTACAACTGTAGGTTTTAATTACAATGTTTTTATGGATTTTCCCGAGGTTTCAGAGGGAAGGCACTGGTGTCCTCTTATCTCCGACATATATAATAAATATAATAAAGATAATAAATTGATAGTTGTAGAAAGAAGCTGTAGTTAAAGTATAGTAAGGTATTGTAAGATTAATGGGATCATAATAAATTGATCGCTATATAGAAAATTAATAAATAAGTTTGGTACTTATTCTAATAGATTAGCTTGCCAATGGTATGAGTAACCAGAAAGTTAGGTGTAGATAATCATACCCTCATAGCTGTAATTGTTCGAGATTTGTGATAGCAAGATTGGGTTCGAGGTGACAATTGGTCGCCGAACGTAGCCACGGTCACGGGATGAACGTTTTGCCTAACGAAGGTCTGGAGTGGTTGTATGGTTTTTCCGAGAAATGTGGTTGTGGCGGCATGCGGCCTCGGGTGCGGGCCTAGCCGCGTGTGATGTTGCCCCGGAAGTGCCGATACAATGGGACATACATTGTATTAATAATCAAACTTCAGACAGAGACTGCCTAGCAACGGGCGTTTCGAACCTTCCCGATGCTTCCAAACGTGTATAGAAAACAAATGCAATCGTACAGCGAGAAAAATCTCCACGAGGTTGGCATTCGTGCGATTGCCTTGGAGAGTGACACATCGAGCATTTTCAACAATCGTATTTTGCGCCTAAGATTAGTTTACGCTTAGTAAAGAGTTATCCCGTTGACCGTGGATTCGTTTGAATCCAAAAACATTGTTAATAGTGTTCATTAAACTTCTTATTCGTAAATCATATTATTCATTACACTTACTATTCGTTAAACTTATTATTCATTAGACTTATTATTTGTTAAACTTAATTATTCGTACAATTTATTATTCACTAACTTCATTGTTCATCAAACTTATTATTCATTAGACTTATTATTTGTTAAACTTAATTATTCGTACAATTTATTATTCACTAACTTCATTGTTCATCAAACTTATTATTCATTAGACTTATTATTTGTTAAACTTAATTATTCGTACAATTTATTATTCACTAACTTCATTGTTCATCAAACTTATTATTCATTAGACTTATTATTTGTTAAACTTAATTATTCGTACAATTTATTATTCACTAACTTCATTGTTCATCAAACTTATTATTCATTAGACTTATTATTTGTTAAACTTAATTATTCGTACAATTTATTATTCACTAACTTCATTGTTCATCAAACTTATTATTCATTAGACTTATTATTTGTTAAACTTAATTATTCGTACAATTTATTATTCACTAACTTCATTGTTCATCAAACTTATTATTCATTAGACTTATTATTTGTTAAGCTTTGTGATAGTCTTGTATATACGTGTAAATATAATCTCGGCTTTGTGAAACGATGGCTAATCCACGTGAAGAGTTGTTGGCCCAAAATTCCAAACCCGACAAATATTTATTATAAAAATAGCTGTTGTCGTGGTTGGGTTATGTAATAATAAGCGTTAATAAGAAATGCATATGTCGGACTAGAAATTGGGAATTAAATTGAAATAGTGATTTTGTTTAGCAGTATTATTCTGTCACAGAGAAAGTGGATGAATCATTGGTATTGAGGGGTTTGCGTCATTCAAAAAAAAAAAAAAATTTCTTTTATAATATAATGATTAAAGTGAGTTAGAAAGAGTAATAAATATCGAAATAAAGTGGTAGTCATTGGAGCTTATGTATAAACGAGCGGTAATGGTTAAAATCGGAAACATATTAGGAGGATTTGACAATTGTGAATAAAAGAAATAGTTATTGAGAAATGTTACGTTGGTATGATCGCTATTATTATTATATTATTATTTTTGAGCTATGTGTGTTTTCTGAAACTATCCAAGAAGAGTCCACGTCATGGTGCACCAGGAGGGAGTTGGTGATGTGGACAAGGATATGAACCCGATCCTGAGAAAGGGCAATTATGTATATTGGAAGACGATGACGGAAGCCTCGTTGGTTTTCCTGGGCTGCTGGGATGCAGTAGAACCAGGATTTACGGCAGCAGAAAAGTTGAGACCAGACTACATGAAAATGGACAACAAAGCACGTGCATACATTTTCCAACATGTTCGCCCCGAGTATCTCGAGGACATTAGGACCTTGAAAACAGCGAAGGAATGCTGGAAAGCACTAGAAGACGTCCACGTCGATGGACATCGTTTTATGCATGCGGGAACTGAGAACTATGGAGAAGAACCCCAGCATAGATATCTCCACATACTGCGGAAGGATCCAGGACCTGTGCGATAACTTGTCCAGTGTAGGTATAAAAATTGAGGACCACGTTATGGCATGTTTCCTTTTGGCCGGCCTCGTGGCGGATCCAAATTACGCGACGTACTTCAGAGCAACAAAGATCGATAAAGATCTAATCGCGAGGGTCATGAAGTTCGATCTTCTACTCGAAGAAAGAAGACGGCGGACTCGGCCGAGAAAAACAGCGCAATGACGGGATCAGCTACGCACACTTGAGATAGGGCATGATGTGTGGAAATCAATAAATAGTGGAGTGTTAGAACCTGGAACCGTCCTACTGAACGCTCGTGGTAGAGCTGCCTCCATCAGTATTACAACCCTCTACACTCGCCGTCCTTGGGATGAGCCTACCTTGAAGAAGTTAGAAAGCATCCACGAGCGGGCGGGAAACGGTGAACGGGGAAACAGTTCGTGTCCTACCCAACGCGGACCGCTTAGAGAAGATAGCTCAGTTGACAGCGGAGTTAGCTGCACTAGAGGAGATGGACAAGGCAGCTCCCATTCCTCAAACAAGTTTCGATACTGGCACCCGAACTTCCGAGGGGGCAAAGGTGGTGGTGGAGAAGGAAACGGGCGATGGAAAGAAATTGCCTTCTACTATCGGGAAGTTGTTAACGAAACCATCAGAAGTGGAGGGCAGACCACAAGAGGAGAAGAGTACCGCCCCCAAACCGGGCGGAGAAAACAAAGGAGGGCACGACGGAAGGGGAGAGCAAGGGCGTAGAAAGGAGTGAGGCCGGCAGCCTCGATCACTTCTACAGTGACGAACAGGCTCGAGGTGTTGGAAGAGCACGATGACTTTCTTATTATGTTGAGACGCGATGAATTACCCCCGCATGATCACTGCGACGGTTGTGACTTAGACAGCGGCGTACTGGAGGACAATCTACACATGTTGATATTTATCTGCGCACCGCATCTGAGGCGTAGTCTGTACGTGAAGGCTTGCACTATTCGTGCCCTGACGGCCAAGGCTTGCCGCCACGGTGTACAAAAATATCTGAAGGCCAGGACCGGATTGCTGAAGATGGGAGGAGAGAGAATAAGTGTTAGTTGGCGCGCGGAATGTTATTGGGAGTTGAGTTATGGTTATTTACCTTATAAAGATGTCAAAGACTTGATTCCGGAAGTAGTAAGTGGCTATGTTCACCGATAGAACTTGAGAGTCCTATGATCACTTATGAGAACTTGAGAGAGGGGCGGGATAACTACCTGACGTTAACAGAGGAGAAGGTTGCTCGATTTATGGAAACTGAATGGCAGGTACCAGACAACATTCCGACCATAGACGACTGGGTAAGGACTGGTAAATGGTTAGAGGGAAAGAGTGGATCGGAGATGAGTACAGTGGTGCACGTGGATGGAAAGAGGGTGAAAACGGGGAAGATTGTTGAAGTGGTTACCACTTCTAAGAAAACTCTAGTAGAGGGAAAGAGTGGATCGGAGATGAGTACAGTGGTGCGCGTGGATGGAAAGAAGGTGAAAACGGGGAAGATTGTTGAAGTGGTTACCACTTCTCAGAAAACTCTACATCTGGTCTTTTTTAGTTTTCTCAAGCACTGAAGCCATCGACAGCGTGTAGACAAAAGACTGCGACGAAGTCAGGCCATAAACAGTAGACAGGCGACGTTGGCTTCGGGGTTTTTCAGTTATTAGGTAACACAGCTAGCGTGCGGATCTGGACCAGCTCAAATTGTATTTTTACTTATTACACTTCTATTTAAATATATTTTCTACCTTACAATTTATCCACGTGTTTTCTCTGTTTACACACCGAATAACCTCAATAAAGATGAAGGGGGTAATAGGCATTTATTGGTCCGACAGCGATGCGGCTAGAGATTTGGTCACGGCGAGCAGGGAGACCATGGACGTCCTTCAGAAGAGCGAGGGTGGGAAGATAAGGCCTGCCGCCAAGACCGGCAACTCGGTCAACCTGAACTACCTGAATGAGGTGCTGGAGAAAGGGTTGCGCGGGAGTAAATTAAGCACGTTGTTCGCGGGTGAGTTTGGGAACGAGGCAATTGACATGAATTTAGTCGATGCAGCGAGAAATTTCCGTAGGAAAGGGGAACTTTCCGTATGGAAAGTGCCCCTTCATCAAGGAGGCTTTGATCAGCATCAGAGCAAGGCGGTGATAGCGGTGACGCTGTTTTGCATAGGCAGACATTTTTTAAAATTTGTGCCTCAAATAAGAATAGTTATTTATATAGTCAGGCTCACCTTGTCAAGGGGAAAGAGGATAAATTTCTTTATCACTGACAGGGCTAAGCATGCAGTACCTAAAAATTAAATAAATTTAATGTTTGATTAAATTTGTAGAAGAACTTAGTAACATTAAAGCAAAGTTGTAACAGTATCATTTTGATTAAAGTGTAAGCAGTTAATCTAAGATATAGTAGTATGGTTTGAGAATTTATAATGAAGAGTAAAATAGGTATAGATAAACATTGGCTCACCTTACCAGGGTTATATGCCTTTTTTCGCGAGGAGGGAAAAATGCAAATTACGCATACCCAGTGACCCGCGTCATTGGATTAAGTGGGACTCAGCAGATGGTTGCCATACCGACTAAAAACCTCTCCTCTAACTGCTCTTCTTGTAGTACAGGTACCAACCCCGGAACTGCCTTTAGGCATTACTTCAGGGTTGGCCCTAACTTCCACGCTTCCTTCGCTACATCTTATCCATTACTATCTCTGTAAGTTCCTATTCTTCTTCTCCTTTATACATCCATCTCCTGTTTCTGTCTCGCCTTCATAATTCTTCTGCACAGTGCCTGGAATTTATTCTAGTTGTCCTCTTTCTTAATTACCTCCTCAATAACATTTCTCCTCGTCAATGTCGTGCCAACATAGCTCTCCAGTTCGGTCCTATCGAGGACCCACCTAGGGCAGTGAAACAACGCATGCTCCGCGTCGTCTACTTCCGTGACGCAATCCCAGTATCTGGAGTGAACCTCTTTGCTGATCATCCTGCGATACACTCGTAGGTGTCCAGTCAACAGTTGCATCGTTCAATATGTCTTTTGTATTTCTTTAACGTACAAGCGTCATTTACTAACTTCTTCGTCCAATTATCTTCTCCGTACACACTCCATTTATCCCTCTACCTGTCGTCCCCCATCCTTTCCATAAAATTTTCAGTAATTTCTGCTCTAGACCCGTCAGTATGCACAGCGCTGCACGCGACACAGTTCTGTAGGCCATAGACGATCTTATAAGTGCGGCCCTTTGTGCCCTCTTCAAGATGTTTCTATTCCTCTTGGTCAACAGCACTTTGGCCCATACCGGGGACGCATAAAGCACCACCAACTCCCATACTCCATAGCAAAGCTTCCTGACTGAGCCAATGTGACCAGGGTGATATGCCTGGTAGTTATTTATTTATAGGGCTGCAGTGACATTCCTTAAATTAAATTTAATTAATTACATTGAATAATATTGAATGATTGTTAAGTGGGACTCAGCAGATAGTTGCCATACCGACTAAAAACCTCTCCTCTAACCGCTCTTCTTGTAGTACAGGTACCAACCCCGGAACTGCCTTTAGGCATTACTTCAGGGTTGGCCCTAACTTCCACGCTTCCTTCGCTACATCTTATCCATTACTATCTCTGTAAGTTCCTATTCTTCTTCTCCTTTATACATCCATCTCCTGTTTCTGTCTCGCCTTCATAATTCTTCTGCACAGTGCCTGGAATTTATTCTAGTTGTCCTCTTTCTTAATTACCTCCTCAATAACATTTCTCCTCGTCAATGTCGTGCCAACATAGCTCTCCAGTTCGGTCCTATCGAGGACCCACCTAGGGCAGTGAAACAACGCATGCTCCGCGTCGTCTACTTCCGTGACGCAATCCCAGTATCTGGAGTGAACCTCTTTGCTGATCATCCTGCGATACACTCGTAGGTGTCCAGTCAACAGTTGCATCGTTCAATATGTCTTTTGTATTTCTTTAACGTACAAGCGTCATTTACTAACTTCTTCGTCCAATTATCTTCTCCGTACACACTCCATTTATCCCTCTACCTGTCGTCCCCCATCCTTTCCATAAAATTTTCAGTAATTTCTGCTCTAGACCCGTCAGTATGCACAGCGCTGCACGCGACACAGTTCTGTAGGCCATAGACGATCTTATAAGTGCGGCCCTTTGTGCCCTCTTCAAGATGTTTCTATTCCTCTTGGTCAACAGCACTTTGGCATCCTCTTGGTCAACAGCACTTTGACCCATACCGGGGACGCATAAAGCACCACCAACTCCCATACTCCATAGCAAAGCTTCCTGACTGAGCCAATGTGACCAGGGTGATATGCCTGGTAGTTATTTATTTATAGGGCTGCAGTGACATTCCTTAAATTAAATTTAATTAATTACATTGAATAATATTGAATGATTTTAATTAACGGTTGCACGTGGGCCTATGGTACTTGCCAGTTAAAGTGCAGGTAATAAGTTGAATGGCTAATGTTGACGTTTGGGCTGTTGACGAGTGTGTGAGATTGTTAATAAAAGTAAGAATCCATAAGATGACAGATGCCTGGACCCTTTTGCTGGACCCTTAACAAGATCGAATTGCGATTTGTATAATCATTTTGCAATACCGCTTGTAATGCACTTGATCGGCGCGAGTAGAGGCGACGCTTACGGTGACTGGCATTCGGCGGCATGTTGTGATAGTGATCTTCAGAGTTCGATTTCGAGATCACTGAGCCTCTGTCAAACGAGGATGCCGTGTACGATATTAAACAGTTACTGCCATATTGGATGGTAGCTCCCTCCATAATCACATTGCGGTCGGCTGAGATAAGTTGCACTGTTGAGTGTAATCGAGGACCCACCTAGGGCAGTGAAACAACGCATGCTCCGCGTCGTCTACTTCCGTGACGCAATCCCAGTATCTGGAGTGAACCTCTTTGCTGATCATCCTGCGATACACTCGTAGGTGTCCAGTCAACAGTTGCATCGTTCAATATGTCTTTTGTATTTCTTTAACGTACAAGCGTCATTTACTAACTTCTTCGTCCAATTATCTTCTCCGTACACACTCCATTTATCCCTCTACCTGTCGTCCCCCATCCTTTCCATAAAATTTTCAGTAATTTCTGCTCTAGACCCGTCAGTATGCACAGCGCTGCACGCGACACAGTTCTGTAGGCCATAGACGATCTTATAAGTGCGGCCCTTTGTGCCCTCTTCAAGATGTTTCTATTCCTCTTGGTCAACAGCACTTTGGCCCATACCGGGGACGCATAAAGCACCACCAACTCCCATACTCCATAGCAAAGCTTCCTGACTGAGCCAATGTGACCAGGGTGATATGCCTGGTAGTTATTTATTTATAGGGCTGCAGTGACATTCCTTAAATTAAATTTAATTAATTACATTGAATAATATTGAATGATTTTAATTAACGGTTGCACGTGGGCCTATGGTACTTGCCAGTTAAAGTGCAGGTAATAAGTTGAATGGCTAATGTTGACGTTTGGGCTGTTGACGAGTGTGTGAGATTGTTAATAAAAGTAAGAATCCATAAGATGACAGATGCCTGGACCCTTTTGCTGGACCCTTAACAAGATCGAATTGCGATTTGTATAATCATTTTGCAATACCGCTTGTAATGCACTTGATCGGCGCGAGTAGAGGCGACGCTTACGGTGACTGGCATTCGGCGGCATGTTGTGATAGTGATCTTCAGAGTTCGATTTCGAGATCACTGAGCCTCTGTCAAACGAGAATGCCGTGTACGATATTAAACAGTTGCTGCCATATTGGATGGTAGCTCCCTCCATAATCACATTGCGGTCGGCTGAGATAAGTTGCACTGTTGAGTGTAAATAATTTTATTTACTTTTCATGATATGAAATATGATATGATAGATGATGAATATGAAGTATGATAGATTTAGATAGATGATATAAGATTTCCCCTATACGTATAGTTTGAACATTGGATGATCACCGGTGCACTGATTTCGAAACTTAGAGACACTGCGAACGAAAATAAAGTTATGGTGAAACATTGAATACGAATTCATGAGCTTTGACTATTGTAGTATTTAGCCGTTTCTCTAAGGACAAGGCTAGGGTTGTAGCTTGAATTCAGCCATTAGAGTTATCACGATGGAATAAGGGAATGCAGGGCTTAAGACCGCACATATCGACGGACTCACTTGAAGAAAACTCGCTTGAACTAATTCGCAACGACTTCGGCTACGATTTAAGGGCACGATAATGGTACAACTCTCTTATGACGAACGCGGCACTGTCCCTGTGCGATTATAAATTATCCGAGATATGTGATAATGAGCTTGGGCTGGTTACTAAAGTTCAATTCTTCACCTTATTTGTAAAACATTCGAACCTCGACGGTAGGAGATCTGTCAATTTTTTTTGCATCTTTTAATAAATTGTTGAGTGGTCGAAAGATTTTTGGTAAATTGTTGAGTGGTCGGAGGATTTTTGCGGCCGCTGGTATGAAACTTTGGTACAAGTTAATCATACCGGGGTACCTTCGCAGTTGCTTAGTCGCGAACTTTGGAACGTTCACAATCACTTTAACACGCTCGACCAGCGGCTTAATTCCATCGGCGTTTACGGTGTATCCTAAAAATGTGATTTCGCTCGAACCAAATTCATATTTCGCGGGGTTAATTACGACACCGTAATCTTTTAATCGTTCGAAGGTTCGCAAGTGATCGCGGCGTTGCTGCTCGTCTTCCGAGGCTATCAAGAGATCGTCGATGTACGCGTATACGAAGTCTAAAGCAGGCCAGAATCCGTACATGAATCGTTGCCACGTCTGCGCTATGCTGCTGCAAAGGAGTGCGGAGGTTGTTTGAATGTAAAAAAA